TTCTTAGTCTCCTCTCCCCTCTGTCTCCCCCTCCCTTCTCTCTCCTTTGCCTGATCTCTCCCCTCATCTCTGTCCTCTTTTTTTAACCTCATGCCCCTCTATTTCTCTCTCTTCATCCCCTGCTCTCTCTCTTACTCTTCTGTCTTTCTCTCTCCTTCCCTCTCTATCCCTGTCTCTCTCCATCCCCTGATCTTTCTCTCTCACTGCCTTCTCTCTCTTCATCCCCTGCTCTCTCTCTCTCCATCCTTCCCTCTCTCTTTTCCTCTTCTCTCCATCCCCCCTCTCTCTTCCTCTCTTCTATCTTCATCCCTCATTCCTTCCCCCACTCCCTCTCTTATCCTACCTCTCTCTCCTTCCATCTCTGTCCTCTTTATGTCTGTCTCTCCCCTCTCTCTATTACTTTCTTTCCATCCCCGCTCTATCTTCATTTCTCTCCCTCTCTTCATCCCCTGCTCTCTCTTTCTCCCTCCATCCCCCAATCTGTCTTCCTCTCTCTTTCTCCATCCCTCTCTTCTTCCCTCCCTTTCTCTCTCCATCCATCACTCTCTTCTGCTCTCTCTCCATCTTCCGCTCTCTTCTCTCCCCCCTCCTACTAGGTCTCTTCTCCCACTTCCCAGTAATGTAATGCACACTCTTCATCACTCTTCTTCCTTTCTCTCCATCACTCCCTTGTCTCTCCCCCTCTCCGAGCTCTCTTCTCCCATCTCCCTGTGAGATGCACGCTCTCCCTCTCCGAGGTCTCCTCTCCCACCTCCCAGTCATGTGATGCACGCTCTCCCTCTCCCCCTCTCCGAGCTCTCTTCTCCCATCTCCCAGTAATGTGATGCACACTCTCCCTCTCCGAGGTCTCCTCTCCCACCTCCCAGTCATGTGATGCACGCTCTCCCTCTCTCCATCTCCGAGGTCTCCTCTCCCCCCTCCCAGTCATGTGATGCACGCTCTCCCTCTCTCCATCTCCGAGGTCTCCTCTCCCCCCTCCCAGTCATGTGATGCACGCTCTCCCTCTCTCCATCTCCGAGGTCTCCTCTCCCCCCTCCCAGTCATGTGATGCACGCTCTCCCTCTCTCCATCTCCGAGGTCTCCTCTCCCCCCTCCCAGTCATGTGATGCACGCTCTCCCTCTCTCCATCTCCGAGGTCTCCTCTCCCCCCTCCCAGTCATGTGATGCACGCTCTCCCTCTCTCCATCTCCGAGGTCTCCTCTCCCCCCTCCCAGTCATGTGATGCACGCTCTCCCTCTCTCCATCTCCGAGGTCTCCTCTCCCCCCTCCCAGTCATGTGATGCACGCTCTCCCTCTCTCCATCTCCGAGGTCTCCTCTCCCCCCTCCCAGTCATGTGATGCACGCTCTCCCTCTCTCCATCTCCGAGGTCTCCTCTCCCCCCTCCCAGTCATGTGATGCACGCTCTCCCTCTCTCCATCTCCGAGGTCTCCTCTCCCCCCTCCCAGTCATGTGATGCACGCTCTCCCTCTCTCCATCTCCGAGGTCTCCTCTCCCCCCTCCCAGTCATGTGATGCACGCTCTCCCTCTCTCCATCTCCGAGGTCTCCTCTCCCCCCTCCCAGTCATGTGATGCACGCTCTCCCTCTCTCCATCTCCGAGGTCTCCTCTCCCCCCTCCCAGTCATGTGATGCACGCTCTCCCTCTCTCCATCTCCGAGGTCTCCTCTCCCCCCTCCCAGTCATGTGATGCACGCTCTCCCTCTCTCCATCTCCGAGGTCTCCTCTCCCCCCTCCCAGTCATGTGATGCACGCTCTCCCTCTCTCCATCTCCGAGGTCTCCTCTCCCCCCTCCCAGTCATGTGATGCACGCTCTCCCTCTCTCCATCTCCGAGGTCTCCTCTCCCCCCTCCCAGTCATGTGATGCACGCTCTCCCTCTCTCCATCTCCGAGGTCTCCTCTCCCCCCTCCCAGTCATGTGATGCACGCTCTCCCTCTCTCCATCTCCGAGGTCTCCTCTCCCCCCTCCCAGTCATGTGATGCACGCTCTCCCTCTCTCCATCTCCGAGGTCTCCTCTCCCCCCTCCCAGTCATGTGATGCACGCTCTCCCTCTCTCCATCTCCGAGGTCTCCTCTCCCCCCTCCCAGTCATGTGATGCACGCTCTCCCTCTCTCCATCTCCGAGGTCTCCTCTCCCCCCTCCCAGTCATGTGATGCACGCTCTCCCTCTCTCCATCTCCGAGGTCTCCTCTCCCCCCTCCCAGTCATGTGATGCACGCTCTCCCTCTCTCCATCTCCGAGGTCTCCTCTCCCCCCTCCCAGTCATGTGATGCACGCTCTCCCTCTCTCCATCTCCGAGGTCTCCTCTCCCCCCTCCCAGTCATGTGATGCACGCTCTCCCTCTCTCCATCTCCGAGGTCTCCTCTCCCCCCTCCCAGTCATGTGATGCACGCTCTCCCTCTCTCCATCTCCGAGGTCTCCTCTCCCCCCTCCCAGTCATGTGATGCACGCTCTCCCTCTCTCCATCTCCGAGGTCTCCTCTCCCCCCTCCCAGTCATGTGATGCACGCTCTCCCTCTCTCCATCTCCGAGGTCTCCTCTCCCCCCTCCCAGTCATGTGATGCACGCTCTCCCTCTCTCCATCTCCGAGGTCTCCTCTCCCCCCTCCCAGTCATGTGATGCACGCTCTCCCTCTCTCCATCTCCGAGGTCTCCTCTCCCCCCTCCCAGTCATGTGATGCACGCTCTCCCTCTCTCCATCTCCGAGGTCTCCTCTCCCCCCTCCCAGTCATGTGATGCACGCTCTCCCTCTCTCCATCTCCGAGGTCTCCTCTCCCCCCTCCCAGTCATGTGATGCACGCTCTCCCTCTCTCCATCTCCGAGGTCTCCTCTCCCCCCTCCCAGTCATGTGATGCACGCTCTCCCTCTCTCCATCTCCGAGGTCTCCTCTCCCCCCTCCCAGTCATGTGATGCACGCTCTCCCTCTCTCCATCTCCGAGGTCTCCTCTCCCCCCTCCCAGTCATGTGATGCACGCTCTCCCTCTCTCCATCTCCGAGGTCTCCTCTCCCACCTCCCAGTAATGTGATGCACGCTCTCCCTCTCCGAGGTCTCCACTCCCACCTCCGAGTAATGTGATGCACGCTCTCCCTCTCCGAGGTCTCCTCTCCCACCTCCCAGTAATGTGATGCACGCTCTCCCTCTCC